AGACAATCCGTCGCACAGCCTGGTCGGGCTAGACTAACCTTAGCTCCAAGAAACGGTATTGCTAGGGTTAGAATACCAACTCTATACTAGTATAGACAATCCGTCGCACAGCCTGGTCGGGCTAGACTAACCTTAGCTCTAGTACTATAGCCTATACTCGCTTACATTAACTGCGGCAGCGGCTGCCAGCGGCAGTTAATGTAAGCGGGCTATAGTAGTTATTAGTACTAGACTAGAGCTAGACTAGCCTTAGCTCTAGTACTATAGCCCGCGTACATTGACTGCCTCAGGGCTATAGCACATTGTTGGCTGGAAATACCAACTACGACCTGTTACCACCTGTCCCCATGAAAAATGGATCGCAAAACGCAAAGTTATCGGGCTTTTTAACACTTATTTATCTAGATGGACATCTCACCTATCTTTTTGAACACTTTCCACAACTTTACACCATGTGTTTATCCTTTAATTACTCAAAGTCAGCACTACTGGCATTCCCGTTTGAAATATTCTGGCGTGCGAACGCGTGACGTCACCGGTATTGTATATACATGCACCATAGCTGCCATGCGTTTTGCCTACATATCCGGTAACGTCACGCGTACGCACGCCACTTTGTTTCAAAATGAAATGCCAGTAGTGCTTACTTTGTAGAATAAAAGGACAAATACATGGTGTAAAGTTGTTGAAAGTGTTCAAAAAGATAGGTGAGATGTCCATGTAGATAAATAATTTAAAACGCAAAGTTATCGGGCTTTTTAACGCGATCCATTTTTCATGGGGACAGGCGGTAACAGGTCGTAGTTGGTATTTCCAGCCGACAATGTGCTATAGCCCTGCGGCAGTCAATGTACGCGAGCTATAGTACTAGAGCTGGGTACGTACTTAAACCGACCAGGCTCTCCGACTGTTACACGACGGAGGCCACGTAGTGTTAAGCGAGATGGGAACTTGTGGCTAGGTACGTACTGAAATACGAGGCTTGTTCGGCGCGAAAAGTGATTCCGCGCTGAAACACCACGCTGGCCGCATATTGTCTGTCGTGTGAACGCAATTCGAGGCCTCGTAAGCCGTGAAACTGTAGTGAGCCACATTGATACTAGGTTTCTCACCATTGTACCTCTCGTTACGTACATACAGTATATTTTAATACTATAGTATTAGTAACTACATAAGTTGTACCTGAGTTTTCGTGATCAAAATGATCACAAAGTGTTGTGTTGGCTGCGAGGTGTCGCCAGCTGTCGATCATGTGCTCTGCTGCCATCTATTGTCAATATATCAAAATAATGGCGGATGATTCAGATGAGGAAGTTGTTTTCGAGGTGAATATTCTATCATTTCTGTAATATATTTTGTTAATTTCGAGTAATTAGTAAAATATATAAAATATTTTTAACGGTGTCCACATTATTCTCATTTACTATATCCATCACCACGGCTCAGGTCCAGAATGTATCCTATAGTATAGGTTATAGTAATATTATAATCATGTGATTCACTGAAATTCCCATTCTGAGTGATGACAAGTCATACATTTTTATGATAAAATATGAATAAAATTGTATATACGCTCGCTGTCGTGAGTGCCTGAATAATTGGGTAATTAAAAATGCTTCCATTACAAACAGCACGCACGTAAAATAAAATACGGGCTGTGTAATGAACAGGGGTAAATAAAGAAAAAGCTAGGACAAGGAATGTGTACAACCACATGTACATCATACATGTATGTAACAACATACATGTACACATTCCTTTACGTATATTCTTGTTACATGTACACGTTGTAGTACATGCACACGTTATGTTACATATTGTTATGTGTACACATTGTATATCAGACTATTGAATCGCTTTTTCAAGTTGTCAAAAGTTTCGTCAGCGAGGCAGTGTTTTGGACAAATTTCTGTGTGGTGGCTGAGAATTTGAGCGAGGTGGTCCGCCTCGCTCGATTGTGGCAATGCGGGGGAAACACTGCATTACATCAGGAGTGAATAACAATAGATCTATTTTTAGAATCTATTATTATTCACTCAGGACTGATAATATGAAGCATGGAGGCCTACAGAGACATAATTGCGCCGAACCGGCCTCGATGGCGCACGCCCTATGGATCCACCACGAGATGTTCCGTTGTTCTCCGCAGAATTCGCCGCTGCACAACTACCTGCGCGACGCCGGGGTCGCCGACGTCGCCAGCGAGGTCACGCAGACGCAGCGCCGCGCCGATGTGTTCCGCCAGGAGCAGGAGACGCGAGGCGTGTCAGCCGCCAGGAGGCGCCGCAAGCTGCGGACGCTCCTCGCGAGCGCGCTGCCGTCGGCCAATCTGGAGAAGGACTACAGAGAGATAGTGAGGATGAACTTATCGATGTTTCGAGAATTCTCGATTCTTTGTCGGCTTCGTTGTTTAGGATCACGTTCACAACATTGCGAATGTATTGCTTGTTGTGCTTGTTGTTGTCCGTGAGTGCACGTGCGTGCGTGTGTGGGTGGGTGTGTGCGTGCGTGCATGCGTCTGTGAGTCCATGCGCGTGTGTGTGTGTGATAAAATCTACGCACCGACTTCACGCATGTTTGTGAAATCGCGTCGTTAAATCGTTTGACGTTCCGCTTATCCTCATCTCCCCTTCAGGATTTGGAATTCTTCTCTCTCTGCGTCAAGTGGATCTTTGCTAGGAGGGCGCTGGAAGAAGACGACTGTGTGTTCCTAGAGAGCATCCTTCCAGAAGAAGGGGAAATCCTACACAGTTGCCCTAATCGTGCGGTTAGGTAACGTCGTCGAGCAACTCTTTAATTTTCTTTTCATGTGGGTTCGTCAAAATGATCACAAGCATGCAAATTCGTCCTTTTAACCTTCTTTTGTTCTTCCTATGGATTACAAGAATCCAGGTAGCATTGATAACGAACTCTCGTTCGTTTTCATCGTTTTGATGTGGGTTCGTCGCAACGATCATGGAATACAAATTCGTCTTCATAACCTTCTTTCGTTCTTTCTACGGATTCATAGAATCGATGAAAAAAGATTGGAACTTCAGTCAGTGCCTTCTTTCTTTCTGTTAAATAATGAGAAACTTTTGATTTTGTATGCCCCATGGTGGTTATACAAGGTTTCTTTGTTTCAATAATGATATCTTTCTCATTTTGCATCCACTGCCTCCATATATAGTGTATCACCTTCACTATATTTCCTATTTTGTACCCCCTGGTGGGATGTGAATGCATGTCAGGTTATTCTGCACCCCCTGGTGAGTGACGTTGATGCGTTGGCTGCCGCAGGTTGCTGGGTTTCGCCGTCGGAACGTCGGCGTTGGTCGTTACGATGCAGCGTCTGTTTCCGACGTCGTGGTACCCGCTGCTGACGATCGCCACGGCAACGCCGTTCATGCTGCACGAGACGCGGCAGTGCTGGCAGCTGATACGCCGACGCACGGCTCACCGCCGAAACTTCCAGGTGTGAATTATATATCTATATCGATCTCTCGCTCTCTCTTTCCTTCTCTCTGTCGCTCTCTCTCCCTCTCTCTGTCTCTCTCTCTCTTTCTCTCTCTCACTCTCTCTCTCTCTCTCTCTCTCTCTCTCCCTCCCTCTCGCGCTCTCTCTCTCTCTCTCTGCTCTCTCTCTCTCTCTCTCTCTCTCTCTCTCTCTCTCTTCTCCTCTCGTCATCGTCTTCTCTGCTCGCTCTCTCTCTCTCTCTGCTCTCTCTTATCTTGTTTTATCTCTCTTTCTTGCTCTCTCTTTCTCTCTCTCTTATCTCTCTCTTCTCTCTCTCTCTCTCTCTCTTCTCTCTCTTCTCTCTCTCTCTCTATCTCTATCTCTATTTTTCTTCTCTCTTTTACTCTCTCTATATATATATATATATATGTATATATATATATCTTCTTCTCTCTTCTTGAGTCATCCAATTACTCCATCCATATATATATACGTGTGTGTGTACTGTGTATATTGAATATGTAAATATGTCTATAGTACCTTATATTTGTTATTAATTAAATCTTTTTAATATTTTGTTTTACCAATATTATATATTATTCAATTCTGTAGCATTTAATTCAGTTAAATGATTCGATTATATTTTAATTGCATTAATTTATAATTAAATTAACATGAATTAAATGTAAATATTAGTTGAATTAGGTTAAATTATAAGAAAGCTTGCAGTAGTAAGCAAGCATTCGTCCTGTGAGCTACCAGCTGAAGTATCTCGTATGTGTAGTGAGCAGGTGGATGGCCAATGATAATACCCCCACTAGATGCACACCTAATACATATCATGTCGGAGATGCCAACCACTACGATTAATCCGTATTTTATGCGAATTTCGTTTGCATTTTGACCACTACGACCAGTTTGCATACAACTACGATTTTTATTACGATTGAAAAAATCGTTTTTATGATATTTCAAGTGTTTTGTTTCAGTGTTACATTGATATGACATGATTGAAAATAACTACATGTATTTAGCAGCAAATATCAGTGTGTACTTATTGTCACTTTGGGTCCCAGAATGCAGGAAATTGCATCTCGGAATCAGAAATTTTTCGGGGGGGGGGGCATGCCCCGAACCCCCCTAGCATATTCGGGTCACTGCGTGACCCTCGGACTACAGATTTTAGACATCCTCACTACAGTTTGCTCAGAAAAGTGTTGGCATCTCTGATGTAGGGGAATACCCCTATGAGTGACTGGATGCTTGAGGGTGGGAGTGAATGGTAAGCGAGGAATCATCCCATATTATGATAATTATCGAATTAGCCGTTACCTGTCGTGTTACCTGTGTGATTGCTTGCAGGTGTTGGAGGGATTCGTGGAGAGGAGGGAAGCCCTGAAGCTGCTAGTGAGGCGATGCGTGAGGCTGATACAAGAGCGCGAACTCATCAGTCGAGGATTTACCATGTACGTGCGGATGACCTTGTGCCGTCATTGCTGTCGTCATAGTGTCATCATCATCATCGATTGTTGTTGTTGTTGTTGTTGTTGTTGTTGTAGTTGTTGTTGTTGTTGTTGTTGTTGTTGTTGTTGTTGTAGTTGTTGTTGTTGTAGTTGTTGTTGTTGTAGTTGTTGTTGTTGTAGTTGTTGTTGTTGTTGTTGTAGTTGTTGTTGTTGTTGTTGTAGTTGTTGTTGTTGTTGTTGTTGTTGTAGTTGTTGTTGTTGTAGTTGTTGTTGTTGTTGTTGTTGTTGTTGTTGTTGTTGTTGTAGTTGTTGTTGTTGTTGTTGTAGTTGTTGTTGTTGTTGTTGTTGTTGTAGTTGTTGTTGTTGTTGTTGTAGTTGTTGTTGTTGTTGTTGTTGTTGTAGTTGTTGTTGTTGTTGTTGTTGTTGTTGTTGTTGTTGTTGTAGTTGTTGTTGTTGTTGTTGTTGTTGTCGTTGTTGTTGTTGTTGT